CCCTTTCGCCTTGTCCCTGTCCTGAAGCGAGAGTTCTATTGTTCAGCTAGAGGAGAGAAAATAGCACGCAGACGTGAATATAGCATGGATGGTGGAGACCGGAGTGTGGTCTAGATAGCTGGCAATTTTTTGGCATCGCGGCTTACCTATAGCAGTCATCAGGGAGTAGCAAATCTAGGGCTGTGACATGCAGCAGCTCACCTAGACCGCTTTTAAAGGATTGAGAAGAAGAGAGCTATCAAATCAGATCTGCTGTAGCAAGCAAATCGGGACGTTATGGTACTTGAAGAGGTTCAGCACCTGGCACGGGTTGTCGGACCCATACGTATTACGTACCAGCCAGAAAGGGCTGTGGACGATGGATGGTGAGACGTATACCACATTCCCAATTTAGGTTGTACTCCGAGGAAATATTGAGCCGAGTTCGATGCCAGCTAGTTAGAAGCTGTCCAGACGAGGGAAAGAACAGGAACCGTCGTGTTTGTTACACTTTTTTTTCTACTTACTTTTTTTTCTTTAATCTAGCATTATATTGTAACCTGTATTTGTCGGACAGTACACCCAGTAGGCGAGGAGTCAGGTGTTCAGTCAGACCCTGTTAGGTATAATATATTCAAGGGTTGCCCCCCTTTTTTAAGAGAGTTTCCACTGGCTATTTTATATATGTATACACGCGTTGACTCAACCGTTTCGTTCCGGACTCCGTGCCGCTGCTGTTCATGTGTGACGATTGAACAGCAGCTGCTACTATCAGCCGCGTCACTTCTTTACTGCAGTTCTTTCTCTGTTCTGTTCCTTTTTTATTTTCAAAGTTCGTTCGCTGTTGCTGTGTGGAGCGCTGCGGATTTAGTTTCAGACTTCCAGGAACCGGGAAGGCGGGGATTGTGATTGCTCGAGGGTCCGGAGCTCTTGCTGGAAGGTGGCAAGTAGCAAGGCCTTTGGGGCCAAATGAGATGAGAAAAGAAAAACACATGTGAAGGGACGAAGGTCTTGGCTCGCCGTGCAGTGCAGGCGAATGGTGGAGTGGACATTGTCATGGGATCCAACATGTCCATCTGTCTGAGGAAATAAATGAGATTTTGCGGATGCTGTCTATTTGGGGCCTTGGGAGGGAGGTTAGGAATATTTGAGCCAGATTGGGCTCTGGACAAGGGTTGATGAGGCAACAGATTTCTCTCTCTCTCTCTCTCTCTCTCTCTCTCTCTCTCTCTCGTGTGCACTCTCGCTCTTGCTCTCTCTCTCTCTCTCTCTCTCTCTCTCTCTCTCTCGTGTGCACTCTCGCTCTTGCTCTCTCTCTCTCTCTCTCTCTCTCTCTCTCTCTCTCTCTCTCTCTCTCTCTCTCTCTCTCTCTCTCTCTCTCTCTCTCTCTCTCTCT